GAAGTATCTATACTTTTCTGTATTTCTAAGATTGGCTTTCTGGCATAACATATGTTTTAGAGAAGGATCCATGTGCTGCTAAGAAGAAAGTGTATTAACTCGTTGATGGATAATATACTCTATATATGTCAGTTTAGTCTAAGTTATTGATTATATTATTGAGTTCTATAGTTTCTTTATTTAGTTTTGTTTGATAGATCTATCTAGTGGTGAAAGAAGTGTGTTTAAGTTACCCAGAATTATTGTGTTGTGATCTATTTAACTCTTGAACTTGAGAAGAGTTTGATTGATGAATTTAGATGCTCCTGTGTTTGGGGCATATATATTTATAACTCTTATGTCTTGTTGATATATGGTTCCATTAAGCAGTATGAAACGTCCATCTTTATCCCTTTTGATTAACTTTGGCTTAAGTCTACTTTATTTGATATGAGAATGGAAACACCAGTTTGCCTACATAGGCCATGTGAATGGTATATTTTATCCTAATCCTTTACCTTCAGTCTGTAGGTATCTTTTCCTATGAGACCATTCTCTTGAAGACAGCATATTGTGAATATTTTTTTAATCCAATCTACCAGCCTATGTATACGTTAAGCCATTAACATTTAGGGTTATTATTGAGATATGATTTATATTACTGGTCATTTTTGTTATTTAGCTTGACTTGGTTTCTCTGTTAGTTGGCTTTTCTTTTATTGTAGTTCTTCCTTTTTCAGATTTTCATTTCTTTCTTGTGAAATATTTTGCCAAGAATGTTCTGTGGCACAGGCTTTCTTGCTGTAAATTCTTTCAGCATTTGTTTGTTATGGAAGGTTTTTATCTCATGGTCAAATTTAAAGCTTAATTTTGCTGGATATAAGATTCTTGGTTGGCATCCATTATCTTTTAAAGCTTAATATATGTTGTTCCAGGATCTCCTAGCTTTGAGAGTCTGGGTTGAAAAATCTGCTGAGATCCAAATTGGTCTTCCCTTATAGTTAATATTATTTTTATCTCTTGCAGCCTTAAAATTTTATCCTTATTCTGTATGCTACGCATTTTCATTATAATGTGTCTTGGTGTATATCTGTTTTAATTTTGCACATTTGATGTCCTATAGGCCTCTTGTATTTGCTTTTCCAATTCATTCTTCATGCTTGGGTAATTTTCTGATATTGTTTCATTTAAGAGATTGTGCATTCCTTTGGTTTGAATATCTGAACCTTCCTCTATCCCAATAAATCTTAAATTTGGTCTTTTGATGGTATTCCTTAATTCTTGGGTGTTCTGTCATGATTTCTTACTATCTTCATTGTGAGGTCAACTTATTTTCAAGATTGTATGTTTTGTCTTCATTATCTGAGGTTCTGTCTTCCAAGTAGTCTAGTATGTTGATGATGCTATCTATTGAGTTTTTTAAATCAGCTTATTGTTTCTTTCATTTTGAGGATTTCTGTTTGGATTTTTTTTTTCAGTATCTCTGTCTCCTTCTTGAAGTAATCTCTTGCAATCTGTATTTGCTCTCTTATCGCTTTGTTGGAGTGATTGATTTTTGCCAGTATCTGTTCACTTAGGTCATTCTTTAATTCCCAAATCATTTATTTATGTACATTCTGAACTCCTTCTCTGACATTTCACCTGCTTCACTATCTATGGATTCATTATTGTAGTGTCTTGGTTTGTTTGGGGCACTTTCCTCCCTTGTTTTTTCATGATGTCTATGTGGTCTTCCTCTCTTGCAGTGTAGATCTGAGGTAATACAGCTTTTTCTCTATTGTCTTATAGTGTGCCTACAGGTTACCCATACCTCTCTTTTAAAGGAGAGATCAATATTATAGCACTCAATGTACCCAACTTGCAGCCATATATCAGTTAGCTTCTATTTTTACATTTACAATTTTGTCACTATAAACAGAAATGATTAGTTTGGTTATCTTCAACCATATAATCAACAGGTTTGCATAATGGTTTACAGTTTCTGATGGTGGAAGAGGGGCCTGGAGGGTTGGCTGAGATGTTTATGAGGTAGGATGTGAGAATATAGAGGTATTAGATTGTATGACTAATGAGAGAATAATCAAAGGAAGTTGGCTGTTAGTAGGAGAAACAAGAAATAGGCAACCTATGCAAGACTTCCTGTTACCTCAGCAACAGGACAACTGTTAGCACCCCAAGTAGAGAAACCTCTGGTGCAGCCAGGCCACAGGGACCTTGGTGATGTCTTACCAGGTTCTTATTGTTGTCTCTTAATAGAAAAAGTGCTATCTCAGTTTCATGGTGGTGGCATCCTCAAGCCTGCATGTTTCCTGATGTTGGGCTGTGGAGCCAAGTTTTGGTGAATAAGGAACCCCAGTGTGGGGTGGCTCTCAACTCAGGTGTGGGGTGGCGAGGGGCAGGTGGGAGGGCTCTGCCTCTGGAACTCTGAGCTGCAGTGGCACAGGGAAGGCAGACCAACATTCTTTTCAAGATTATATATTTTGTCTTCATTTTCTGAGGCCCTGTCTGCCAAGTGATCTAATCTGTTGGTCCTGCTTTCTATTGAGTTTTTAATTTGGTTTATTGTTTCTTTCATTTCAAGAATTTTTTTTCAGAACTTCTATCTCCTTATTGAAGTAATCTTTTGCTTCCTGTATTTGCTTATGTAGCTCTTTATCTAAATTATCTCATGCCACCTGTTTTTCATTTCATATATCATCTTTTAACTCACAGAACATTTTAATTATGTATATCCTGAACTCCTTCTCTGTAATTTCTTCTGTTATGTTGGCCATGGATTCTAATAATGTAGTGTCTTGGTTGGTTTGTGGGTACTTTCTTCCCTTTTTTTTTCATGTTGTTTGTGTGTCTTCCCTTCCAGCACTGCAGATCCAAGGCTTTACCATTTTTAACCTATAGGCTTATAGTGTCCATGCAGGGTTTTAATACCTCTCCTTGATATTGCTTCTAAGCCCCAGCAAGTGTCCCAAGCTGGGAGTTGCACCAACTAAAGATGCCGATACAGGTGTCACAAGATGGAAGTGGCTGCTTTCAGCAAAGGGGTGTCTGCTTGGGTTGGGTGACGTGTTCAGAGATGCAGCTCTCTGGCATGCAGTGTTGTGGCTGGTAGCTGTCTCCAGACCCTGTGCAGCATCCCCAGGTGCAGGCTTCTATGTGTGGGGGAGTATGGCAGTGGTTGCATTGTCCCACAATGGAAGCGACTGGGAGAGCCCCATGTTGGTAGACGGGTGGGAGGAGTGGCCAGAGGTCCTGTGCATGGGCAGTGACTGGGTGTCCTGTGTGGGAGTGGTGGCCAGGATTGCTTCGTGGGTGGGAGGCCAGGAGCCCTGTGCAGGTGCTGATGCTCGTGGTCCTGCTCAGGCACCTGGAGGTCGTACATGGGCTAATGGCTGCGAGTTCTTCGCTGTTGCTGAGGCCTTGACACCTGCATGGGCATGGTGGCTGGGATTCCTGCATGGGAGCAGCTGTCAGGGGTCCTTTAATCACTTGCAGAGAAACAGAATTCCTACTACTTGAATCCTAGGTCCTGGCATGACACAGAATGCAGCCTCCCTCTTGCCCACCATCTTGGATCCTAAAATCATGAATTCTTAAATGTAAGAAACTCTATACTGGTGCTGGGAGACCTAAATTCCAATCCTGGCTGCTACTCTAAGTGATGGTGTTTCATTGGTTAAGGGTCATAGGCTACTCTGGGATACTTTTTTTTTTTTTTTTATAAGTTTAACCACTGTGTTTAAGTAAGGTTTTTGTTTTGTTTTGTTTTTCTTTCCGTATCTAAGGTATAGTTTTTTTTCCCACTGCTATTTACTTAGCTTTATTTAACCTTTGTATTTTAGGGGGAAGCAAACCATGTCTGGAAGACAGTCCTTAAAGAAGCAGGAAAATCATGTAAGAATTGGAGATACAGGAAGGTTAACTTGTTGCCATTTTTTTAGGTCCATTTGTCAAAAGCTAGCAAAATATTTTCAGGCATATATCCCTCATCTTCCCAAAATATAAACACTGGTTAAATTAAATCTGAACATGTGATTCTATTGCTAAAAATGATACAATATCCAGTATTGGGAAAGACATGAGTTCATAGAAAACAGTTTTCCACAGGAGGAACATAAAGGTCAAGTCAGATGAAATGTAATGAAAAGCACAGTGAAGTCTTGCAGTCATTATTTAAATACTCAACATGCAGGAGATAAAAAATAAATGACTCCTCAGTGATAAGTTGTCAGTTGTAGCCATCTATGTACATTCCTAATGGAAATTTGAGCTCTTTTTCATAAACTAATTACTGAGTTTCGAGTGGTTTATTATTACTGGTCTTACTATTTTCTAATAAGATATTAAACTTAATACCAAAAATATTGGGAAAATAAGAAAAAGAAAGACTTTATTTAAGTGATGCTATAGAGCTTCACTTGGAGATAGCAACAAGGAATCGCTTACCCTTATGTATTAACCAGCTTTGCATCACTGTAACTGAGATATCTGACAAGAACAACTTAAGAAGAAGGAAAGTTTATTTTGACTCATGGTCTTAGAGATTCAGTCAATGGTGGGCCCACACCATTGTTCTGGGCCCTAGGGAAGCAAAACATCATGGCAGAAGGGCATGCTAGAGTAGGTCTGCTCCACTAGTGGCAGCCAGGAAACAGAGAGAGGAAGCCTGGAAGGGGCCAAAAAGATGAACCTTTCCAGGGTGGGCCCTGATTGACCCACTTCTTCCAGCCACACCCCACCTGCCTAAGATTACCATCCAGTCAGTTCATTCAATCTAGAATAGACTGATTTGGTTTCAGCTCTCACAATTCAATCATTTTACATCTGAACAGTCCTATATCAACACAAGAGCTTTTGGGGGAATATCATGTATCAAAACCATGGTACCTTATAAAGAAAATAAAAAAGACTTCTGTGTCAGATTGAAAGTCTGTCTCTGATAAGTACTCTTTCCAGTGTCTCACATTATGGGAAAGAAGATTTAAAACATTCATTAAAATTTCTTTTCTATTTTTTTCTTTCAGACCCCTGTGATCTATTTAAAAAGTATATATGTAGCACCAGTGACTTCAAATCGGCTCAAGGGCACCCTTTTAAAAGCAAACACAAAACAAAACAACAAAACAAAAAAAAAACAACAACCCATAAAGATGTCCATCTCATAGCAATCACTTATTTTTGGATCTAGAAATTGGGAGGAGATACAATATATAAAAGCTGCCATGAATTTAAACCACTTTTAATGGTCTATGCATTTGAAACAAAGTGTATATATTGTCTGGATATACTTTCATGCTACAGATAATGTTAGCATGTGAAAGGATCAGTGGATTTCTTGAATCATCTCCATAGTGCCCAAGATCCCATGGTAGAACTTGTCTACTGCTCTGGAATATTGCAACCACCAAGATGGAAGGAAAGACCTGAGATGCAAGGCAGTTACACTTTCCCTCAGTAGGTAGTGTTATGAAAATAAAGGGTATATGGAAGGAAGAAGTTGTTTTAGTCCCCTTCAAACATTCACGTGTCCTAGGGGTTGTGACCTGCCTGGCTACCTTCCTGCCATCCCTCAGGACTTTTCTAGCAGCAGTGGTGCCTGCACTTAGTGTTTTCATGCACAGAAAACTTTTCAACAAAAACATAAATTCTGGGAAAAGTAATGAAATTGTGTGATTATAAACATCAGAAGAAGCAACCACTATCTACCAGTATCATCATATTTAAAGAAGATACATCAAAATTAGGAAGAACACAAGTCAACATAAGTGGTCAAATTTAAGTTCAATATATTTAATAAAAACTTGACTGCATTGTTTTCAGCATACTAGTAAAAATATTTTTATGGATTGGTGATTGGAAATCACCAATCAAAGGGTAAAAGTATAATCTTTATTTCAAATAAATTATAATTTTGGTAAATTGTATTTTTTTCACACATAGAACTTACATTCAAATCTTTTAGGAAAGCTTTAGATAAGAACATAGTTCTTCCATGATGAAGCAAACATCAAAATTGGGTCTAAAATCCTATGTTTAATTCTTTGCTTACATCCTATTAACTTTCTCTGATTATATTTTATCATAAAAATATTTTAATTTGTTCCCAAAAGCTATTTGAGATGGCTTATATTACATATTGTAGTACAGTTAAATAAGTAGAAAGGGAGAAATTAAATAAGAGAAAAATAAAAATAAGAAGTAAAATTTTAAAAATATATATATATATATATATATATGAAGATATATATAATGTGAAAGTTGAAAAATGCATGAATCCTGTATAGGTTAAGTATGTCTACTTAGAAAACCTGAAATTTGAATCGCTCTAAAGTCTAAAACCTTTTGAGTGATGGCTTGATGCCACTAGTGGAAAACTATACCTGCTCCTGTAATAGGTCCCAGCAAAAATGCAGACATGCTAAAACACTGTATAAAATTTCCATCAGGTTATGTGCATAAGGTATATTTGAAGCAGAAATTAATTTTATGTTTACACTTGGGTCCCATCTTAAAATATAACATTGTGTATATGCAAATACATATTCCAAAATTGGAAAAAATCTAAAATTCAAAACACTGGTCCAAAACATTTTAGACAAAGAATACTCAACCTGATGTATTTGAGAGGTAAACCTTATATTTGAATTTAGGGTTGCTAGGAGCCAAAAGAAAGAGGGAAGCAGATTTTTCCGTCATCTAGGACTGTATAACAATTTAACTCAAAACTTAGCTGCCTAAAATAGCAAATATTTTCTCTGAGAATGAGGACTCTCGAAGTGGCTTAGCTGTGTGGTTCTGGCTTAGAATTTTTTCATGTGGCTGCAGTTACATGAAGCCTTGAGTGGGGCTGATGGATCCACCTCCAAGATGGTTCATCACATGGATGCTAATTGAGGCTAATGGGCTTCCTTCTCACAGAGCTGGTTCTTGAGAAGGTCCAAGTTTTTTACCATGCCTCTCCACAGGGCTGCTTGAGTGTCCTTACAATATGGTAGTTGGATTTCCTGAGTGAGAGATTTAAGAAAGAAGAGAGGAAGTTCTACTGCCTTTTATAATCAAGCTTTGGAAACGAGATACCAACCCTTCTGTAATATTCTGTTGGTACACTATAGGATGAAATTAAACAAGAATATGAACCTCAGGAGGTTTGGATCATTAGGGGCTATCTTGATGGATGGTTACTACACAGACCAAATTTGAAGATTCAATGTTATTGAGGAGGGGAAAGATGGTGAATTAGAGTGGGGAAACATTTCTCTTAGCTTGGCTACCCAGAACTGAAGCAGCGGGAATTCTACATTTCCCCAAGGCTTAGAGTGAAAAATCCTAAGGCTGGAGGGGCAGTCTGCTCTCACTGAACCGGAGACTGTTTGACTCATTAATAGGATCTATAAAACACCCTCTCACTCTGAGTTTATCAATCATCCCAAAGAGCTGATCCAGGACTCATTTTGGGACTGCCGCTCAGCGGAGCCAACAGAAACTGGAAACAGAACTGTGAGTTTACTGCTAGGTCTTCCTGGGCCTGCCTGAGCCTAACAAACCTGTGGAAAGTCAGAAACTAGGAGCATTTCACACTGGGGAACACATATTAGAGAGGCTTTAGAGAGCCATGTCTCCCCAGCCCCATGAGTCCCATGGCTTGTGGGGACTGATGAGGCTAGCTACAGTGGGTCAACTGGTTGAAAATGTGGGTGTAAGGGCATTTGGTTCTTGGTTTGCCAGCTGGTATGGTACCCACCATGTTCCTGGGGCCCAGTTGGGCTGGCACCCACCAGGGCCCTCCAGTCTTGGGTCCCCAGTCTCCCAACCCCCAAGCCTCTGACCTGGCCCACTGCTCTGCCCCCTAGGCCCATAGCCTGCTAGCTCATAGCCTTGCATGCCAGGCTGCTGCTTCACTGACAGACCTGTCCAGGCCAGTGTACAGCTTCACCGCTGGTCTGCAGGACCCAGTGCCAGACCCTGATCCACCTAGCCCAGGCCAGCTGGGCCCCACTGTATATGACCACCTGCTTTGCTGCCCACCCACAACCCAGCTTCCCTGGCATGCCACTTCACCCCAGGCTTGCAGGCTGGCCCACCCACACCAATCTCCCAAGAAAGGAAATTGGGAAGACTTAAGTCCCAACCTTAAACTTTGTGAGCAACACAATAAAAGGAAAGATGCAATAACCCATGACCCATACTACTATGCTTAGTTCATACCTCAAGAAGAAATGGAAAGAAAATCAGGTGGACACAGACAGTGAACACAGATACTCAGTGACTATTTTTCTGCCATAGTGAATATCACTCCTTAATTTCTTAACATTTCACCAAGATTATTTTTTATTGTTGTTTTGTTTGTTCGTTTGTTGTAGTGCTGTTTTGGTTTTTGGTTTTGGTTTTCTATATTGGGTTTTTGTTTTATGTGAATGTGTATTGATTGATTCAAGGACTCCTACACATATTCATATCTCCTCATTTCTAGATGTTTTTTTCCTTTTATTTTTCTTTTTGAAGGTGTTATTTTTCCACTCTTTGTATTTTGAGGATTAGGGTTTTTTTTTTTAAGATTTAAAAAAATGTCTACTTGTAGATGGACACATATCTTTATTTTATTTATTTATTTTTATGTGGTGCTGAGGATCAAACCAAGTGCCTCACATGTGGTAGGCAGGCATTGTACTATTGAGATATAACCCCAGCCCCAGATGTTTAGAATTTTTGATTACACATTTTGATTTTGTTTTGTATTGTGTTTGCCACTATTATATCCTTGGTCTCCCTCTTTCTTTCTTTTTAAATTTCTGACATGCAAATTCCATTTTCTTTCTCTTCCTTTATATTTCTCTATTTTTTTCTTCCCCTTTTACATTAACAACATATTCTGAGTTACCATTGTATCTGCCCTATTAACCCTTTGAAATTGCAAACGCTTTTTGCCCTCTTATCTCTTCTTCATTCCTTATACTCAACTTTATCCTTAATACTCATTAATACTATTTGAGGTATATAATATCTACCTACCACCAATGTCACAGCAATAATTGATATGGTGAAAGAAATAGACAATATCTATTATTTGATTTTAAGCAAGACATAATGCCTGATTATTTATTGTTTTTAATGATGGACATTGCTGATCCTACTTTCTCTACATATTGTACCAATTACCACTAGATATCAAAATAGGAACTGAAGACCTAGTCTACTGCTATATATTGTTTCCATACATTGTTGCTATCATTGGACTCCCCACACACACACACACACAATTTTTGAGGTACTAGTAACATAGAAAGACACTATAAACTCATAAGATAGAAATTCTACAACATCAGATCCATCTAGATAGAAAGGTAGACACACAGACAATATGAAAAAACAGGGAACTAACCATCCTGAATAACACGGGATACCTCAACAATAGACTCCATTCACACCTCTGTGAAAGAAATGGCAGAGACAGAATTCAGAAAGTTTATGGTTAAACTGACTTATAAGGTAAAAGATGACATAAGAAATGAGATCACAGAGAAGACACAAGAAGAGAAAGATCATTTCAATAAGGAGATAGAGATCCTGGAGAATAAGAAGTCAAGATTCTTGAAATGAAGGAATCAATAAACCAAATTTAAAATTTAATGGAAAGCATAATGAATAGGCTAGACTACATAGAAGACAGAGTTTTAGGCAATGAAGACAAAATATATAATCTTGAAAATAAAGTTTACCATGAAAAAAATATGTTAAGATACCATGAATTGGGCTGGGGATGTGGCTTAAGTGGTAGCACGCTCGCCTGGCATGCGTGCGTCCCAGGTTCGATCCTCAGCACCACATACCAACAAAGATGTTGTGTCCGCCGAGAACTAAAAAATAAATATTAAAAATTCTCTCTCTCTCTCTCTCTCTCTCTCTCTCTCTCTCTCTCTCTCTCCTCTCTCACTCTCTCTAAAAAAAATACCATGAATAGAACTTCCAAGAAATATGGGATAACATGAAAAGACCAAATTTAAGACTTATCAGGATAAATGAAGGCTCAGAGATGCAAATCAAGGGAATGCAAAATCTTTTCAATAAAATAATATTTTAAAAATTTCCAAACTTTAAGAAGAAAATGGAACACAAAATATAGAAGGCTT